GATAGACTGAATCACATGCTACATTTTAACAATTTACAGGTGACTTTTTAAAAATCATTTTTACTGGGGGTTCTTACAGCTCTTATAACATTCCTTACATCAATTGTTTCAAGCATATTTGTACATATGTTGCCATCATAATTTTCTAAATATTTACTTTCTACTTGAGCCCTTGGTATGAGCTCCTCTTTCTTCCCTCCCTCTTCGCCCCTCCTACCCAGTGGCCCCTTGGTAAATTATAAATTATTATTATTTTCATATCTTACACCAACCACGGTTTCCCTTCACCCATGTTTTTGTTCTAAGGCCCCCTCGGGTGGGGGTGGGGTGGTAGGCAAGTTAATTGTCCATCATTGTGCTTGGTCTCCCCTTTTCCCCCTCCTCCCCTCACATTCCTTCTACCCTCCTGGTATCACTACTCCCATTTCTGTTCTTGAGGGGATGATCTAACCTGGATTCCGTGTGTCATGAGCTCTTATCTGCACCTGTGTACATGCTCCAGTTCAGCCAGAACTGAAAGGCAAGAATGGGGTCATGATAGTGGGGTGTGAGGAAGCCTCAGAAAACCATAGGAATATTGTGTTTCATCGGTGCTATACTGCACCCTGGTTGACTTATCCCTTCCTGGTGACTTTTCTGTGAGGGAATGCCCTATTATCTACACATGGGCTTTGGGTCTCTGCTCTGACTCCCCTCATTCTCAACAATGGTTTTTTGTTGCTTTGGGTCTTCTGGTGCCTGATTCTGTTGAACCTCATGATTGCATAGTGTGCTTCTTCCATGCGAGCTTATTGTTTCTCTGTTAGATGGCTGCTTGTTTAACTTTATGCCTTTAAGACCCCAGACACTGTGCTTGCTTTGGCAGCACATATACTAAGACTCCAGATGCTATATCTTTTGATAGCCAGGTACCATCAGCTTTCTTCACTACATTTGCTTATGCACCCATTTGTCTTCAGTGATCATGCCTGGAGGATGAGCACCACAGAATGCCAGGTTGTTAGAGCAAAGTGTTCTTGCATTGAGGGAGGGCTTGAGCAGAGGCCCAAAGTCCATCCACTTCCTCAGTGTATTGTCATATAAATATATGTACATATGCCAATACCTCTATTTTTATGAATTAATATATTTATATAAATGTACACCTATCCATAGCTTTGCCTCCTAGATCTTTCCTCTGTTTCCCTTTACCTTCCTCCAGCCCACCATCATGCTTGCCCTTCTTCTGCCTCTTAGTAATTCCTCTCAGCTAAATTGCTGTTGCTCCAACACCATCCAGATCTCTACATCCTCCTCGTTGTTGCTTTTAATTCCCTAGCTGTTCCCCGGTGGCGTTGTTTGATCACCACTCCTTTCCCCACCCCAGCCCCACCCTTCAAGTCCCTCCAGAACCATTGGTCTCGTCCTCTCCGTGGGCTTGCTTCCCCTGCCTATCTTATATAGCGTGGCAAAGCAACAATAACAAAACAACAGAGTGAATAAAAAGAGAAAACTAATGGGGAAAAAAACACGAAAAAAGCATACATAATTCCAGGTCTACCGCTGACCTTTATGACTATCTCCCCAACTGGTCCTGGGGGGTTCTGGGAACTACCTCTCCTAGCCTGAAGTCTATTTTGGGGGTTCCTTGGGGATTTGTGACTTTGCTTTGCTCCATTGCTGGATGTTCCCTTCTTTGTTTGCCCCACCGGGGGGCAGGGGGTGTTTGTCAGACCAGACTCACTCCTCGCTGTGTGTCCCCAGTATTGTCCTCTGTGGCAGTATGTTCCAGCGAATGTCTTAAGCTGTGTCTGCCCCACAATCCTCTGTGCCATAGCAGCTCCATGCAGGGACATCATGTTCAGGGCTCAGTGTGCTAGTCTAGTCCCTCACTCTCTCTTTTTCCTTCTTGGTTTGCTTCTGTATGGATGTGGCAGGCAAGATCACCTGGGGATCTTTAGGGGAGACGTCGGACATGACAAAATAATAATAATTTATAAATTATTAAGGGTTCCTAAAGGAGTGGGGAGCAGGGAGGGGGGAAATGAGGAGCTGATACCA